CCCCAAAACCCCAAAACCCCAAAACCCCAAAACCCCTTAATGCAGATCTTTAATTGAACATAATACATAAGAATTTCGGGGTTATGGAGACTCTTCAAGGGGTTCCTCGATGAAGTCTTCAGCTATCTCGTCAGAAGAGTCAAGCCCCTTTGGAGATTTAGAGGCTGGTTTTGGGCTTGAAGGTTTGGGAGGGTCTTTAGAAGTGAGATTTTGGGTCGGGCTGGAAATAGGTTTTTGTGCTGTTTCTACACTTGTAGGATTAGGTGTTGGATTTGACTTTGGGGGAGTAGTAGACTCTTTGTTTTCTTCATCATCATCTTCTTCTAATTTAAATGTACTTTCTTCTTTCTTCTTTTGAGCTTTGATTTCTTTAGGAGCATCTTTTCCAACTCCAACGTTTTGCTCTTCCTTTCCTTGTTTAATTTCTTCTTGAATCTTAATTTTCTCATTCACTTCTTCTTTGGTTTCTTCTTCTTTCATCTCCTCCTCAGTTTGCTCTTCCTCAGACTGTTCTCCCTCTTGCTCATCATCCTGATCTTCCTCAATATCCTTTTGTGAGCTACCCATTTCAAACCTATTGATCTCTGATTCCATTTCTGACTCAGTCTGGTACAAGAAATTACAGAATTCGTCATAATCGATCATACCGTCTTTATTGGTATCGCTGTACTTAAGCACTTTGTCTCAGTCACCCTCTATGTCTTAACTCTAAAGCTCTTACCAATTTCAAGGACTGTGAATGCAGCTTTGATCTCATCTGGGGTCAAAGTCCCGTTATTGTCAAGATCTAGCTTTTCAAATATGAATCTGAGGTTTCTACCACTGTTTAGCACAGATTCTCTATAGAGGGTCAGACACAGCGCTTACTTGAACTTGTTGATCGTCTCCATAAGTTCCTCCCGTTCCTTCTGGTCCTCTCTGCGAACTATCTCATGGAATTTCTTGTCTTTATCGTATTTGATAGACTTCGTCCTTTTGTGCAGAAGATCATCTATTGTATCAATGACTACAGATGGTATTTCTATATGTTATTGAGCAAAATTACCAGCATTTACAGGCCCTAAGTGTAAATACTCAACAGGGTCATGCCCATCCTTATTCTCTAGGGTCATATCAGCATTGTATGTGTACACTAGTTCTCTAATTAAGGGTAAATTCTGGTTCTTTATTGCAAAATGCAGGGGTGTGAATAAGCTTCCCCTCTTCTGATCATTTATAATCTCTGAATAAATCTCATCAGCTTCTTTTTTAGGATATGCGTTATGAATGGCCTCAGCTCGGTTTTGTACATATTTTGTAAATTTGTTGAGGTTTTTATCCTTAAGATAATTCCAGATTTTGTTAACGAAAATATTGACCTTCTCTTTTGCCACATCAGATGCAGCCATAGATTGTTTTGTAGCTCCAAGTTTGGTATCTTTGTTGCCTTCAAGATATTTTGAAACCTCGAATAAGTCCTTTTCACTAATCATTTCTTTATAATTAAGCATCTGTTCTAATTTGTGGTCCTGCTCTTTCAGAACGCATTTGTAGAGGACGGATTTATGCTTATCGTCCTCGGTCTCAAGAATTCGTCTTCCTCTTTTCCTCCTTTTGTCAGTGTTGTAATGATTGGTAAATATTTTATAGAGAAAGTCAAATGATTCATCCGAGCCGTACTCTGCACAACAATTAAGAATATTGTTATTTTTTGTTACTTGTGATTTCAAAGATCTTCTTACGGAACACCTCAGGATTTACCTCGAAATCTTCTGAAGTAACCTCAGCTTTGGAGTTATAAGGCTCCTCTAATTTCTCTGGGTCCAGAAATATCAATTTTAGCAAATCTTGGCGCTGAGAAATAATTCAGCAGTGATAATACGTATATCCTGAGGAATTTTGGAAATCTAGTGGGAAAATATTCAAGCTGTGTAAATACTTTGATGCTTCAAAATTTTCTGATCTCAGTGCAAAAGAGAGATAATTGTCAGAGTTAATCCCAATTCTTTCACTAACAATCTTCTTTTTGGGCACTAACTTTAAGTCGTCTATTTCTAAGCTTTTGAGTCCTTTCTTCTGTTTCTTTTTGGTCCTGTTAAGAAGTCCCTTGGTTAATCCTTTCAAAGTTGGCTTTGAGACTTTCATGTTGGTATTTCAAAGTTTTACCAAATCATCATGCTTCTCTCCTTCTTGGATCAAATCGATAGCTCTTTTATGGTATGCATCCTCTAGCCAAGGATTAGCCTTCAGGAATGAAAGATCTTCTACGATACCTATGCTTCCGTAGAAGCACGAATAATGCAATGCAGTTCTTCCAAGTTTATCTCTAAAGTTCAAGAGGTTTGGGTTGTCTGCATATTCGAAACTTTCTCTCTTATCCTCATCACCATTGATTATTCTGAATCCATCAATTTCTCTGAGTATTTTTGAAACATCTTGTATGTTAGACTTTTCTTTTTGAGGCACATCCTCCTCTTCAGAATCAATTTTGAAATCTTTGAGGCCAATGACTTCTTCTTCATCCTCTGATAACTCAGCTCTGGCTAGTGCTCCAATATCTCTTTGGTCAGGAGGTAAGCCTTCTTGGCTAATCTTAACCTTCGTTGTTTGCTTACTGTATAGGAAAAGTAGCTCCACCAGTCTTGGGTCTTCATTTCTTGAGACATAATGCAGAGGAGTCATAAGGTTGCTATCAGCGATGCATGCATCAGCTCCAGCTGCAAGTAAGAGACTCATAGCTTCATAATTCCCATGATATCATGCATAAGTAAGGGCTGTTCGTCCATATCCATCTGTCTTGTTGATCAATCTCTTCCTTCGCTCTGGGTCTGTGGGATAAACATATAGGAAAGCTTCCATTGCTTTGTTTCAATTAAGGATGGATGCATTTATCAGACTCCTGGATTCAGCACTTCTAATTTTCTTCTGTTTCTTAAGGTAAATCCTTGCATTCCTAACAAGTTTTTGTAATTCCTTGTCAAAAGTCTGGCTAGCATCCTCAGTTTGCTTCATTTGCTGCTTATTTTTGATAAATTCTAGCCTTATGGATCAAGGAATCGATTTCGCTAGTATCCTTAGAGTTCTTAAAGTGTTTGTTCTTGTATTTAATAAGCTTGTCAGGGTCATTAATGAACTCCTGGACCTGTTTCCTCATGACAGCTTTAGGGTGACCTTTTGGCACCCTTGGGACCTTACGTTCCATTTTAGATTTAAATTCTTTTAATTCAAACTGTTTTTATTAACAAGGGGTTTTGGGGTTTTGGGGTTTTGGGGTTTTGGGGTTTTGGGG